ACGGAATCGGCAGGTCTAACGGGTTACGTCTTTTAAATTTTGAGTAAAAGGAAAACTATGCTTCGCATGTTCTGCTAGATGGAATAAGAAGACGAGGTCAAATGTGGAATTAATGTAGAGAATAGGGAAGAATAGCAAGTGCATTTCCCATAAATAGAAAAATGTCTACAAATACGCAAAAGACGTAAAAATGGCGAAGAAAGTTCCTAATATTATACATGTTAAAAACAGTAGATGAGTCCGATGACAGCTTTCGGGCAAAAGTATTCCTGAGTATACCAGCCGTTTACTTCGGGTAGCAGACGAAGTCGGTGAGAGAGACTGAAAGAGGTGAGACGATGGAGTCAGGGGGAGAATTAATACGTAAGTGAGAAACGGGGAAGAGAGGAAAAAGGGGAGAGCGGTGACGGTGATGTTGACCGCGTGGCTTTGAAGGCGGTGCACGGTGTGGTGGTGGGTCGCGCTGCAGGACTCAGCGCGAGGGGTGGGGCCGGGCCGTCGAGAAGGGGGTGGGCGGGACCGGGGACGTAGGGAAGAAGAACGCGGAGAAGGGGGCGTGGCGGGGGGCTCGCCGGGACAGCGCGCGTTTCTTTACAGCCTCATCTCCATTTTAAGTTGAGCATAAACCTTGTTAAATATCTCGGCTAATAGCTTGTGAAGGGAATACAAGGGAGAAAGGGAAGCATGGGTTTTTGCTGTGTCCGTCGCTTGGATGTGCTGCGCGAGTCGGTCGCTCTCGTTTCAACCTCTCTCGCGACCCCGCTTCCGTCCACGCCCACCTCCCTTCCCATTCCCACTCCCGGCCCTATCGGCGATCACACTCGCGCCCTACCCATTCCTCCATCTACGCCTCCGCCCGCGCTTCCACTCGCACCTCCGCCTCCGTCCGCAACGACGCCTCCGCCCGCGCGCAGCCTCTTCGCCCTCGCCTCCACTAATGCTCCGCCTCCGCCGTCCGTGCCTCCGCCAGTGCATCCACACGCACCTTCGCCTGCGCCTCCACCGTCGCCTCCACTGCCAGCGTCGCCTTCACCCACCCTTCCGCCTCTGCCAGCATCATTGCCTTGCCTCCGCCTCGCCTGCGCATCCACATGCGCCTCCACCAGAGTATCCTCCCGCGCCTCTGCACACGCTTCTACCGCCGCCTCCACCCACCCCTCCACTCACGCCTCCACGAGCGCCCCCGTCTCCGCCACCTCTGCCCCGCCCACGTTGCATTTCCCATCTGCGATTTCTCCCTGCACACGGCACAGCCCCACTACAAGCGGGAGAAACTGGGGATGCAGAGAAGTTGGCAGGCGAGAATCATGTGGTTTATGTCAGTGATACATATTCTCTTTGCAGAATTATGTTCGTGGGGAGATGGGCAAGTAAGACAAATTTTAACTCGTTTGTCCCATGTGTTTGTCCAAAGCGTTTACACTTTCGAAGTCGTGCGTCTCTGGTCCCTACTATGAATTAGTCTGGTATATTCTTATGCATTTTAACATGAAATAATATGCAATAATTGTTATGCAGCGATTCAGTGCTTGTTCGGGTCTGTAACAGCTGTAATTTATTCCGCATGATGAGTGATTAAGGATTCACTTAATCAAGCTTGTCACTACTCCTGAAGTCAAAGCATTACCGTTCAGAATCTATACATCACCTATTTCCCATAAATTTCCTTTCATTGATTATGTATTTTCTACGATGGAGTTTAACTTGTTTGAAGATGACTGTAGTTTATGTACTTGAAAAATTATTTAAATTTCTGCACCACCGCCCATATTCTGGCCAATTGCGAGAAGACCTCAAGTAGATTTTGTGCCATAAAGAAGCGAAGAAAATATAACTATTTTTTGTAATCGTGTGATATTTGCAGTGTGTCAATATTCTCATTTCATTTTGTTCCATTTATAGGGTTTGGTGTAGTGTAGTCTGATCTTATGATGTTGTAGGTGGAGGCTTGATGTGAGTTGGGATTTTGTGCTGCATCTTTTGATATAAGGAGTAAATTGTCATATATAACATAGTTATTTCGCACATAATCATACTGCGTGCATATAATGTTAAATGTAAATATTGAGTACGATGTTACTTTTCTAGTTGGCACTCTCCTACCGATGCACAGTTGACAGGAGACCCGCAAGTCGAAAAAACTCAAACGCAAGACAATTTACAGTCATATTTTCTCCTATCGTTTCATCGATATTGTTATTGTAGAAATGATTCTACATTGTAATTGTATTGTTTCTACTTGATTCACAATTACTATCTTCCTCCAAAGATTAGGGCAATAAGATCGCTCTGATGTTGCTTAGACTAGCAGTCTAATAATGATAAATGAGAATAATTAATGACTAGCAGTCTGTTGCTAATGTGTTCTCTATTAAATAAGTTTTCATTTCTTCTATGGTCGACGTTGCATTCTTCATAATTGATAAAACTTTATACAAAGCATAAAAACAACCGTACCTACAATAACACGACATTCTAGACATTCTAACCCTTCTAAATGGCCGGTGAAAATTTGCTCACAATTGAATATTATTGTAACACCATACATAATTTAACAAAGGTAATAAGGTCGCATGCTCACAGAATGTTTCGGAAATAACTTGTCAAATCAATCTCAAACACAGAGAGCTTTTACAATTTTTTGAAGGAATCTAGAATTTCGACTTCATCCGAAAGAATCAGAAATTAAAACTGAGGGCATGTTTTAACAAGGAATATACTCTGAAAGAGAAAAACGTGTTGCGTATCTTTTTCTGAGTTAGATCTTGGACACACCCACGAACAAATCTAAAATCGCCCAACTTTACAAATTTGTTCTATAAAGTTCTTTCGGAATCATTCTACCTATTGAAATGTTATATCAGAAAATCTGAAATAAAAATCTATTCTTTAAACTATTTAACTTTATTGTGCAAGGATTTTATTTACATATGTGGGTGTATATTACTAGCACACATTCCACTCTATAATTACTTCCAACAATAAAATCAATCAAACAACCATACATACTTTACAGAAAATTGCACAAAGGCCTTTATTTTTGTAGTAACTCAATTTCATGCAATATATGACACTTAAGTCACATACATATCATGTGTATCATTTTAGAAGTAATAAAAACCAAATTCAATGATATCAGTTTCAAATTTATGACTTCTTCGGTTTTCTAGACTGGCAGCATTTCAAAATCTTGAACTTATTTACATTTATATTGAAACAGTTTCCGCAAGGGTTGGGGATTTTTATTCATGACGTGTTCTACTCTCTTCGCTGAAGCGTTGGTTTGAAATCTCCTATATTTCTCGCGCAGTAGGTTTCTCGTAATGAAATTTCGTTTTATTATTTGATTGTAATTCCAGATGCCGGTTTGTCCTCGAAATTTTCGCTTTATAAGGTTCCCGATCTCCGCCGTGCAGGGAACAAATTCACCCTAATACAGTTTCCTTCATGTGCAGGAGTCGCGGTGGGGGAAGGTTCTTGGGTAAGTTTGGAATCAATATTCTGGCATGCCAAGGGTGAGTAACCGGGCCTGCTTTCTTGCGGTCGCAAGTTATTCATCTTGTGGCGGCGGGGGTGCAGGGAAGGCGCGGGGGCGGTAAGAGGGGGCTAGCGCATTGACAAATATGCACCCCTCGCCTGCCCCCTCGCCCGGGCCGTCTGCGTGCAGATTGGATCGACTACCCCTCCGGGAGAGCGCCCGGCGCAGTAGGAGTTCAGGACGTGCAGGTGGACAAAAAACAACAGCAAAATGCGCAGGCTTCTAACTCCCTTTCCCATTTATACTCACCTATAGCTTGCACATATACTTTACTGGGATATTAAAAAAAAGAGTTTCGGAGAGTGAAATTATAACATTAATGTTATAAATAAAAATACAACTGATTTTATGCTGAACCATTTACATGATGCCAAATTCCGTCTCGCATCAAAATTCCCTAAATTGTCAGATTAAAAGAGCGAGAAAACCAGATATTAAACATATTTACAGGAATAAAATGATTTATTACGGACTAAAGGGTCCATTTTGAAATAGTCAAGGGTGGGCTATGGCACTTATGCCCTCTTCTATGTATGCCTATGTATATTTAATTCAGAAGGGAATATTATGTACATTTTCATTATTATATCGCCAATCTAATTCTCTTAAAAATCAATATGTGTAATTAGTGCCGAATTACTTGCGAAAGCATTATATAATGTTTAATATTGCTTAGGACTAAGACATTTCTAATAAATTGCCTTCGTTAATGCTTAATTAACCATTCAATTTATTTGAGGCATTAATATTTGATGTCTTGTGTTTATTTAAACGTAATCAATCATCACAAGACTGATGAAATACTTTTTAACTAAGAAGATGCGATGTCACATTGTAAAATAATAACAATCGCCTAGAGTGAACTGTCGCCAAGGATGTATGTCCACCAATATCCCCTTTCGCACACAGTGGGCGTCAGGGAGCACCGCGGACGGTGGCAGGGGGGGGGCGGAGAGGGTGTGTTGCGGGGAGCCTCAAGTGCGGCCACGCATGTCGCCTCTCGACCCGCTCGCCACACGCCGGCTTCAAGTGGCCTCTTTAATCTTTCCGAACGTGTCTGCGAGCAGCGTTCGAGGAGGGGTTTTGGACAAGTCATGTGTCGGCTTTGTTACATACCATGTTTTTGATATTTTAGGACATTGGGTTTGCGTAATTTTTTTACAGACAAATTCATATAAACTGCAATATTGGGAGAAATATGAAGAAGATTTTCTGTAATTTTTTCTTTGTACGAGCATGTAAGTTTTAACAACTCATTTAGATGAATATATAGTTTGAATTTCTGATTTTCAATATTCGCGGCTTGATTGATAATTAAATTGTTTAATGACTTAACATTTGGTTTCTATCTTTGGGGAATTTTTAATTGAAATATAATGAATTGTTTGCAATATATGACTTTTTCTCTTACCATATGTTAGGCTTTAAAACGTCGTAAAAATATATGGAGCCTTTGTATTCTTCAAGTGTTCGTTGCATGCCTTTAGAAATATCGTTTTACCTAATTTTAACTTGATACCTGGAGGACAAAGTACTAAATTATTGACGTAACGCGAGGAAAATGTAAAAATATTAATATTTGGTACACGTTTAATTAAAAAAGTCAAATGTTTGGGATACTGGAAATATATATTATCTAATATCGAAGAAGCTACCAGCCAGGGAAACCGAAAGAATTGGTTACCTTTAAATGGTAAGGGTAGGTATTGCCATTGAACAAAAGGATAGTCATTTAAAATTTAATGTGTAATGAGTAAATTTCCGTGGAATAAATAAATATATGTAAAAAATATATCAGGTCTTAAAAATAAATACATCGGTCAGTGTCTGCACAGCAGTTGGTTATGAGTTTGCTTGTCATTTGTTCTCAGAACATACATACTAAATATAGTACTAGGACTCAAAATAATTTAAAATATGCTTAGACTAAAGAATATAATATCAGACAAATGTATGAAACGGTGGTTGAGTTCATACCACCCAAGTCATGGATGAAATTTGGTCTTGGGTCGCACAAAAGTAATCTCACACACATAACGTGTTCTCAGTGTAGATTGGTTACTTCAGTATGGAAACACGTGCATACCCAAATGTGTTCACAGACATGGGAGAATGACGTGAAATAGCTCTTGACGTTGACGTAAACTGTTCCTCTAGGATCTCATAGAATCATAATTCAACGAGCGAGTATTGGATGTCGTTACACTTTCTGTCGATACGGTCATTATTCGATCTCTTCTCTTCTGGTGAAAGATTGAGATTACTAGGTTATTAATCATATATTTCGTTGTTGCAAATACTGCGAATTTGAGCAGGTATTGGTAAAAGTCATTTCAAAGGTTCAAAGGAAATATTTCGGTTTGACTCAGAACAAATAGGATTTTGAAGGTCGACGAGTGGATGGTAATGAAGTATCAGTCACATTCTTTCACTCTCTGAGAAGTGATCTCTCACTTCTGAGCGTAGGCGCCTTTGTCACCATCTCGACGTTGGCGCGCGATGGGCTGTCGAACTGCTGGGCGCACCGCGTTGGTCCCCCAAGTTCACGCAGGATTCGCCTGCCTACGGGTAGATGTTCTGAAGGGCGTCGTTGTAGAGCGAGTTGTAGGTGTTGCGCAGCACGAAGAGGTCGTTGGGGCGTCCGTTGAAGACGTAGGGCCCCTGGTCGAGCTGCGTGACCGGGGTGTCCTGCTGCGAAGGCGGCGCGGGCGGGCGCGTCCCTGGCCGCCAGTACACGCTGGTCGGCTTGCCGTTGGCCACGAAGTCCACGGGCAGATTGATGAACGGGCTGAAGGCGGGCGGCGGCGCGGGCGGCTGGCTCACGTAGCCCAGTCCAGGCACGAACACGTACGGCGTGGGTGGCATGCGGATGTAGTAGACGGGCGAGTCGGGGAACGGCGCGGGTTTGCGCGCGCCGCCGGGCTCCGTTCGGGACAGCACCTGCGGAGAACCAATCAGTCGTCACGACGCTGCTCACACACACACACACACACACACACACACACGGTATGTAGGTTATAGGCAAATAAAATTAGTGTGCAATCTACATTGTCAACATGAGGGCATATGTGAGCTAGTATGAAAATGGTTAGCTAAAGATCTACTCCAAACTACAATATAAGGCACTAAAATTGGATCGTTCTTTATTTACTTCCTTTTTTTAAGTATATGAAATATGTTCTTGTTAAAATTAAAAGAAATATTTTTTTTGTATTTTATGTACACAGTTTATTATTATTATGCCACAGGTACTATTAACTTTCAGAACTACGCACTATTAACTTTCAGTACACTTGAAAAAAAAATAACCTGATCATCTTAACAAGCTCTGAGTAGTAATCTTCTACTTCTCCATAAAGCTCTTTCTTTCTCAGCTTATAATTGCAACTCAAGGAACTAAAAACAGTCTTATCTAAAACTTTACCGCCAGTCTCTTAGATGCGAAAGCTTAGATGCGAGAGCTTGGATGCGATGTGCACTATTTAAATAAGAGGACAATTCAAAAAAATTGAAGACACGGCGAATAAAGTGGAAGACGTCTGTAATGGGAGAGGAGAGAGACAGTTAAGGAAGACATTTTAATTTATGAAGAATATGAATTATCAGAATTATCAATTTTGTAATTATTATTAAACATTCAAATGCATTTAGTACAAGGCTTTTAATAGAGGCTTACAGATAAAAAATAAACGTGTATAAGAAGTTGGAAAAATGTAATTTAATTTTTGAAATACGGACAACTTAAAATATTCTTGGTTCCGTTGTTTTTTGAATACAGTTAACTTCATTTATCACTAGACGTTTTGGGCTGAGATCCGTCCATGAATTTCTCCGCGTGCGGAAGTCGCAGTGCCACTCACCGCTGACGCAGCGGACGGCGAGTCAGCGGCGCGGGGGCGGAGGTGGGGGCGGAGGCGGGGGCGGAGCGGGGGCGGAGGCGGGGCGGGGCGGAGGCGAGGCGGAGGCGGGTGCGGGGGCCGAGGCGTTGCGGGGGCGGGGGCGGAGGCGTTGCGGGGGCGGGGGCGGGAAGCGGGGAGCGGAAGTAGGAAGCGGCCCATCAAAGAGGTGGAGGGCGCACTCGGAGATATGGAGTCACCGGGGCTTTCACGCAGGATTTAGGGTGGCGTTTATGAAACGTTCCAAAGGGGTTACAAAGGGATGTTGCCGCTTTCTCAAGCTTCCTTGGTGTTGCAAATCAGCTCGAATTAATGTACGGAATGTGTTAACTGTACTTAATGTTGCATGTAATATGACACTAAAAGGGTGCAAGAGAGACACATTTACTACTTATCGAAGGTATTAATTTTAAGTATCGTTTGTTTTCTAATTTACTAGTTTAGAAGCTTCACTTTTATGAAAAAAAGTGGCCAAAGTGAAAAAACGACTTCAACGACATGTTGGAAAGAACATTTTAAAAATAAGTCTTTAGATTTTTATGAGCTATCTTACAGTTGATCAAATGCTATGTGATAGATTTTTAAGATTCTAACTTTTTAGGATTCTAACTTTGTAGGATTCTAACTTTCTTAATGCGTGTTTCAAGAAGAGCGTTTATACCCTGACAAATGTGCAAGACTTGCGGAATGAGTGCCTACACCAAATCTAAACGAAAGCTGTGGATTCAAATCCTAGGTATGCCTAGGTATTTTATGGGGTATTGTGACATGGTGTGCATTTCTGCTCCAGAGTGCATCTTCTTCCACCTGAATCCTTCCCCTACTTCCCATCGTTACCTCATAATTTGGGATTGTGGTTGCTTCTGTGAGACGCAATGCGCTTCTGGAGTCCTGATCAGTACCATTTAATGGCAACCTGACTCACTACCGCTAAAACCAGTCCAGTCACCAAAGAGCCTACGAGCTACCCGGAGTATGCACTTGACCGAGAGAGGGTCACGTGCCATATCGGCGTAGTGAGGAGACAGAATTTGAGTTACCCATGATTGAACTAGGAGATATCTCTCAGCCAAGGTACGTATGTCCACAAGACACTAACGGAGAAAAATAGGGACACGTACAAGAGTAGCATTCAAATTTAGAAGTTTCAAGAAATATTCTGATGAAAGGGAGTAATGAATTACATGGAAAAAGATGAATAGAGGAATGAATATCGTACATCAACATAACCATGTTTTACAGTTAAAGTAATAAGATATGCTGGAAATTTTCTTTCGATCCTCCCACGTAGTAGAGAAATGTACCTAAAGTGTAAAAAGAGAGTGCGATTTAAAATAACCATAGCAGTAAAAGGCCATTTGAAGTTCAGAGGCACATATGTAAATATTTCGCTTAAATATAGTCTATTTACTATTCATGTCGCAAATGGAATCGAATATCTCAAATAATTAACTCAATAATTATTTAATGCGCGTGTTACCAGATATTAATAAGCTGCCTTAAGTGACTTTCAATGGAGACAAAATAAAACATTCAAAGAATTCTAAAAAATCAGATTAACATAAAAAGCATATTTATTGCGATAAAAATTTACTTTATTGTATTGTGTTATACTACTTTGCTTCTGGCTTGCGATAAAAAATTAAATAATATATTTTACGGTTGCTTGTTGTGTGGCTTTCCAGTATCTAAAACCAAGCCTCTGAATTTCTGTTTGTGAATGGGGAAATAAAAATATTTACTTTCTTGAAAATGCATTTCTTGCCGCAAAATAACTGAACTCCAGGTATAAAGGGCAATTTGGAATGATGATATTAATTTCTACTTTTAAGATTATATTTCTTGCTCCGAAGTAATAAAACAATTTCTATTACTAAATACTGTTATTTTATGAAAATTGAAAATTATTACACCTCTCTTACAATCATGTGAGTCGTATGTTCTCAAATTCCGTCAAGCACGATCTATGATGAGTCCTACCAGACGAGTCCTGCCAGACGAGTCCTTCCAGATGAGTCCTGCCAGACGAGTCCTACCAGACGAGACCTCACTGCAGCTCCCATTGTATCCCACCGTATCCCATTGCATCCCATCGCCCATTAGACACCCATCGATCTCCAGTGCCCCCTTCCTTTGAGGGTGATTTGAGAGCCACACGGCTTTAGATAAGAGCAAAGACACTGCCAACTGACAACGGTCCCTGTCCCACATCATCACACACCCCGCCCCACTCGACCGCGCCGCGCTCTACCCGCCCCGCCCCCGCCACGCGGCAGAAACAATGTATGGAACACCCCTTTCTTTGTGCGAGGGCGAACTTGCCATCCTATGTTCCATATCACACTGAGGCAGTCGTGTTTTTATTCCCGCTGAACGTTGATGTGATATTCATATCGGTCCGAAATGGGCTGAATTGCAATATCGACAGTTGCCAAACGTTTTTTTTGTTTGTAGATGAGGTTGGGGAGCGTGTCCAATACCGTATAAATTAGAATTCATTGATTCATTTTCTTATCGTGTGGACATTGTCGTAAAGAGAATAATAAATAAAAGCCTATAAGATGAAAAATATGTTTTGAGAATGTTCTGTAAACAACGATAAAACCAGAAAGAAAACTTTTAAAATATTTATATTTTGTATTCTAATATTTTTCTCAAGATATTTATTCGCAATGTTAGTGAATATGCGTTTCAATATTTGTTTTCAAATTTTTTAATATCTACCTCCAAAATGTCACAACCATCAGTAAATGTATTTTTTAAAGGTTTTATGGATTATCAGAGCAGGAAGTCAGGTCAGATAACAAAAATGATCCTTTCGATCTCAATCTCTCTTTGATTTTCTACAATTTTCAAATCAGGTAATTGAGTGCAAGATGGTGATTTGTGAAAGGTTAATTTTCTAAAGTATCCGACATCGAATGTTTCTTCATATATTTTGACTAATAATATGAGATCATCAAATCAGTTATTTTGTAAATCTGCCCAAGATGCACGTGGGTTCGTATAATTTAATTTAAATTTTATTTAACACTTTGAGTGTTCAAAACGAAACATTTTATTTCATTGGTGGTCTGAAGTAATGCGTTCGTTCCGGGCAATCATCGCTTTTGCATCTACGCTAAGCGTTAGCGAGAACGAGAGTGCGCACTGCCGCAAACAGGCCCGCCCGCCTGTGGGGTCGTGCCGCCTCAGGCGCCGGTTCATCCCTCTCGGGGTTTGCCCGCGCTTGCGCCCAACGCATCTGCATATTTATAAAGGCCGCACCTGTATAAACGAAGCTCCAAAGAGAACCTCGCGCCGCATTAGATGCGCCCGTGTCGGCAGTGAGACGGGGACGGCGGTGGCGATGGTGACGGTGGTGATGGGGGAGGGAGGAATCTGGAGATGTCAAGGTTAGCTCGCTTTGCAGTTGTAAAGAAGGCAGTATGAATAGAGGCCAATGTTCTTTTAATCTCACACAGCTTTAATCCCGGTGAATGCTGCTGGGTAAAATAAACAGGTCAACTTTTCATATTTCCACAAATTCTTGTGGCATTTCTTTTCCTTATTCTCGTTAATGCTCTTCTAAGTCTTCCCCTTCTTTCTTCTTCCCTCCTCATTCTTGTGTAATAGCAAATTAAATTGATTTGCAAAATATTGCTTATTGAAATATAAATCATAAAGAAGTAAAAGGACCCAAATACTATTTTTAGATGGTCAGTTACCATGAAATGTTCTTTCACTGGAAGGAAATAAAATAACTGGCATTGATTTTATTCTGAACTCGTGAGTAGTTAGTTTGTGCGAATTTGATCTCTACAAAATTATTGTACAATGAATTTGTCCACATTTTAATACATTGTTGGTTTTTGATGATTTAAAAATAAATACAATATTGATTTACACAATATTTTTTCTGCAAAACGTATGTCAAAACATCTGTTTGCTTTGTTCCCGGCTGAGTTTAACTGAAATACATCTTTGGTTGTGTCAACCGGTAGAGAGACGTATACTTTGTTAACGGTGTACCGCAATTTTTTTGCTTCTGAATGTTGAGGTAATTTACCTTGACAATTGGATGGAAAGTAAAACATTTCGATTGTGTTAGAGGACTTCTGAACAATATATATTTCTCGCATATAAATTTTACTTTAGATAGTTATTTGAGACACGAATGGTAAAAGTACCATTCAATTTTGTGAATTGCGAAACGAGGCCGGTAGGTCGAGTGGCGTAAATCTACCACGAGTGTCATACACTATTTTGTAGACGGACTTTCTGATTATTATTTGTTTGTAATTCAAGTATACAAACCTCTTAATGCGTCATTTAAGTCAGTATTAGCTGATGTGATCAGGTGAAAGTATTTCGTTATCCTCTTTGCATTCCCTGATTTATAAAAACACTTGAGCATCGTTCCACTTTTAGCACTGGTACTAAAAATTAATCTTTTAGTTCGCTATGCATACCTTAAACAACTGTTTCTACTAGTGGTTGTTTGAAACATTTTTATAAAATTCTACATATATATTCATGGGAACGAAAGTCTATTGTATTTCATTGAAACATTTTCCAATGATTTTGGGTATAAGAAGAATTCTACAAGTAAGGTCAAATTTGTATTTTTAGTATCTCATCATGGTTTTTTTCTAGTGAAACCCAAAGAAATGTCACAGAAGCGCAGTTGCTAGAAGAAAGATGTGCAATTGATGACATTTCATTCAATATTCTTTTGGAAGAAGCTAACATGTAATTTTCCTAGTCGTTGATAGCGTATTCTCTTTTTTCCGTCGCAAGCATGAAGCATTAATGCGATATTTCAAAGACTTTCGTTCAATCACAGAAGTGAAATTACAGAGCGCTGTAGATACGATCAAAATTATTCTCACTAATATCTTCATGCATATTTACCTTTAAACCTTGTTTATGACAAATTACCTTCCTGTTTTGTGGCAAGTATAATTATATACGGAACAATTTATTATATTCTCTATTAAGAAACATTTATTTAACATATGAATTGTATAGACAAACACGACATCACAGATTCAAAAATCTAAATTAAAAAATAGTTATGGGTAATTGAAATTACAAGTTGCAAATAACGACTTTATAACGTTTCCTCGTATATCCTCGAAATCTCTGTTTTGCAATCGTGCGCACTATTCAAATAGGCGAACTTATAATGCTCCAATTAACTCTTTTAGAATATAATGCAAATGAAACGCTCGGACGATTGAAAATTTAATCGTAGTTATTGAAATTGAAAGAATCTTAATAAAATGATTATTAGTGGATATTCACTAAAATTTTAGGCACTTTTTCTTATGAATGCGATGAGGTTATCGGTACCCGAAAAGGAAAAAAAAAACAGCTATAAGAGTGTAAATAATCCTGAATCGCCAGTAAGACGATTTTAAATAACAATATTCCCGCGGGATATGCACCAAATGAATGAAGTATTGGCTCGATCACAAAAACTTGGAATAATCCCTTTGCATTATGAATTGCCGTATAAAATCATCCACTCCTCGTGTCAGTATTAGGTGCAAATATTGTGTGTTAGTGTAACGTAAATTTGTACAAATGTTGACTATTCAGCTTTCATTGGTGCTTATACTTATGCCTAAATACATTCTTATAGTGTAGGTTAACTTGAAACAAGTGTGTCTGTAATTAACTATCCATGATGAAAAAATATGGGACAAATTATTCCACAGAAAGGTGAGACATTTAATAAGTAGCATTCCAATTTTGGAAAAACTATTCCATAGTTGTTTTTACTTATATATTTATTTACTTATTTACTCCCTTATTTTTTATGTATTATTTCTTTATTTTTATTTTTTCATTTATTCATTCCATTAATGTAAGTCCGCACCTCGTTGTGGTCGCCGGAGTCCTGGTACGCCGAGTAGTCGAAGTATTGCGGGGGCAGCATGCCGGGGGGCGCGTAGGCGGCGAAGTAGGGCAGCTGCTTGTCCGCGCGCTGGCCGGGGAAGAGCGCCTGCTGCTGGGCGGCGGAGGCGGCGGCGGCATCCATGTCAACGTCTGCGTCGTCGGGGGCGGAGTGTGTGGGGACGTGGCGACGGAAGCGGCGCGTCATGGGGGCGCCAGCGGCGGGGGTGGGCGCGCCGGCCAGCAGCAGCAGCAGCAAAAGGGCGGCGGCCGGCAGCGCAGCGCTCCGGAGCTGGGAGATCCTGCGGACAGACGCACGTGGCCGTCAGAGAGGGAATACATTTGGGACTCCGGTGGACATGCTTACTAGTAAATAATCATTGTGTTCTTAGTTTACACATACTAAAACAGACTACTATTGAATAGAAATTGCCATTTAACCCATGCCTAAGTTTCAATCGCAGCTCATTGAACGCTCTCATTGTCGTTTCGCCCGTGATCGCTATTGTTGGAGATATCTGGTTGCGTGTTTTCATTTTTATCGCACATCTTGATGCTGATCGAAGATCCTGGAGACTGACGCACGCGACCGACAGCGAGATAGTGCGTGATAGTGTAGATGCGATGCAATTGCTTCGGGGAATTCACTGCGAAAATAAAGGCAGAATATTCACTAAGAAAAAGAATACAAAAATGTAGCAAATCATGTAATACAATGAAATTGAATATATTATTTGCTTCGTACGCATGTGAATGAATTTATCATCAGGCATTTAGGTTCTAATTGGTGATAATAGTTTTGGTAAACGTATAATTTCGAACGATATTTTCTAGAAACATAAATATTCTCAATAATACTCTCGTCCTTGTTTAAGTAATGAATTTATCATTGAAATTAAATTATGCAATTTTTATATAACAATATAATAATAAAAAACGTACCTCTCTAAAACTTTTTCATGAGCAGAAAGCAGGGGCTGCACCAAAACAAAAATTTTGTGTAAAACAAATAAATGAAATAGAAAAGGGGAGACATTAAGTAACCTTCTCCATGCGTGTCATTCCTCGTGAGGACGGCACAGAAGCTTCGCTTTGAGGTGACGAGGGCGATAGTGCGCGCTGCCTAGGGGCAGAGTGAGTCCCACATGTGGAAGGCGGCGAAAGACAGGGACCTTCAGCTGAGAAACCGCGTGAGGGAGGGCGACAAGATCACTTAAGCGGGCGCGCGGAGGGGTGATAGCGGAGGTAGATGCCGGAGTTTGGGCGACCGTGACGGTGGCGGTGGCGGCGGAGGCAGTGATGGCACTGGTGGCACTGGTAGCTGTGGCTGTGGCAGTGACTGTGCCGGTGGTTGTAGCTGGGGCGGTGATTGAAGCTGTGGCGGTGGCTGTAGCGGCGGCGGTGATGTCTGTGGTTGTGTCGGTGGTGGAGGGAAAATTGTTGTGACTGCAGTGGCGGTGGATGCGATGATGGTGGTGGAAAGGAGGTGGTGGTGACTGCGCAAGGGGGGAGGGGGTGATGGTGGCGATGGCTGTGGAGACAATCGCAGCGCGGGCGGAGGCGTGGGAGAGGTTGGGCATAGGCGCAAAAAAGACGCGAGGGATTAGCAGGGCGGCCGCTGCGGGGCGGGAGGGGCGCTCGCTCGCGCTGATGCGTGATCCGCCAGAGGCGCACGTGTGAGCGAGGGCGCGCCTTCGGGGCCTTTCTTGCTTTCCACGCCCTCCAGGGAGGCGATCCGTCTCGAGCGCCACTTGGCCCTTCTTCCGACGCGTGTGGAGAGCAATGCGCAATTAAACGCTAGAAGAACATTATCAGAGAGTTACATATGTACTACATGAGAAAGTAAAACTAAAAAGTCGTAGTTCTTTATTGTGTATAAGAAGGATAAATAAAGCCTGAAATATCATTATTTACTAAGCTGTCCGGGTTACGCCGCGTCCATGGCGAAGGCACCTTCGGACAGCCTAGTAAATTCTGACTCCGGCCGCGGAAGCCTACGCTCTCACTGAAATATCATGGAAGAATTTTGGAAAAACGGAATGTTTTTCACTAATTATAAGATATTGAAAGCAATTCAGTTATTCTAAATGTACGAAAAGACATTTTAGTACTAAGTATTAAGAAAAGTATTAAGTGCGATATTCAATCAAATAAACTGATTTCCTAGAATTAACAATTATTTCGCAATTGGCTACAACGTTCAAAAACCCTCAAACGCACAGCGATTTATTAAAGCTTTTTCACAACATAAATAAAATAGCTTTGAAGAGTTCTTCAAAACATATTTTATTAATGTTTTCAAGCTGTATCGCTTCGCGTGCAGGAATAACGCATTCCAATTACAACCGAGTACGTGACGGAGTAAGCACGAAAGAACCGAAGACGCAGCCAGTGTGGAAGGCCTAGACCCCGCTCTCCAGTGAGCCATGACTCGGCGTTGAGCGTTCAGTCACTGGGCTCCCACTTGCCGCTTTGTCCGTACGCTTCGTTGCGTTTCGAAGACTCCTCCCGACAACCTTGGAAGGTCGCGACGTCCGGCAGCCGTGCTCATACCGCAGGAGCGGCGGTGGCATCGGCCTGCTGGTGGGGCGCCAGACAGTCCACGAGAACGGGCTAGGAGGAGGTAGGAGAAGGGAGGAGGAGGAGGGAGGAGGAGGAAGGAGGAGGAGGAGAGA